CACCCTACTGGGTGACATCTTCAGCGCATACTTCAACTTGTTGAAGTGAGCTTTTAGATTTATCCGCGAGTTTATTAATCATCTCTCCTGGTGACCTTGGACGTGATTGGTTGTTTTTATGTGTTTTCACACCTTCTAGGCGGCTGCTTGTATTGGAACTGATTGTTTCTTTGCCTTGAACTTTGACCCATCCAGCTCAGAGAACACAATCACATCAAAATCATCCACCTGAGCTATAAATCTTCTCTATCATATCTAAATCATTTGATAACATTTCACTTTTCTTGCACATATCTGCAACACTTCCAGTTGACACTCTCCCTCCTTGTACCACATAAAGCAAAAGAAGATATAATAAAGACATTCAAAAGACAGACAGGCAATCAACAAAATTGTGAGTAAGCGAATAAGGATAGTAACATAGAAGGACAATCGAGTTTTATTGGGTAAGACAAATCACGTGGAGTGAATGCATCTGCGCTGTCATTGACAACGAGGATTTTGAGCCATATTATCAATTGTCTCCAGCCTTCACTGGTTCTTACCATCATCCCGACGATCCCAACAATTCATGCAGTCCACACCTCCCTACGTCATGGGGGGCTTAAACTAACTATTGTGGATTTCTTTGACAGATGAAACCATGTTTTCGTTTGACTACCAGTGGCATTCTCTTTTACAACCTGATCCATACCATGTCAGTTAATATCGCCTGTTGTCGAGGAAGGCGACAGTCAGATAGACATGCATAACACATGTCCTAACCATCTCAAATGATATAACCGCATCGATTAATTTTCTTTCCTGACCTAGCACTAAAGACTTAACCTCAATATTACTCATGGTATTGTACCACTTAACATGGTATATGGAACGCAGACAACTACGATCAAAGACAGCTGGCCTTTTCATGTCTTCTGCTTTCAGTAGCCATAAAAAAGGAGAAATAACTGATAAATCCCATCAGTACTTCGAAATACAACGGCGGTAACTAGTACATCCAGTCGACTGAAATTTTCATCCAGCTATCACCGTTTAATCTGAAAATTAATCTAATACACCTTAGTAACTGATTACAGGATGAAATTATCTGAAGTTCTCACCAGAGGCTCTCACTAAGGTAAGCGCATTAGGACAGACACTCACTGATGACTTCCGTTGGTGGTAGAATTTAGAACTGATGCGCTGGGGACTGGATTTCAACCCAGTAGGGATGAATAGTAAACAAGCTAATCTTATCACTTAGGTGCGAACTGTCGAAGAGTCCCAAGTGAAGACAGAACACGCATCAAGTACTCATCGGTTTTTTCAATAGTTCTATAATTGAAATCAGTGTTCAAGAAATGAAAACAAATCACGTAGGACGTTTCAAAGAAGGCATTTCCAGTTTACTACTAGTCTAAACCACACACACACACACACACATACAACAGCATGAATTGATGGAATTTATGCACAATCGACCTCAATTATGTGATGTGATATATATATATTATTTCTCATCTGTTAAATGCTAGCTAGTAGTTAAATTTACTTCATTTTAGACTTAATTATACATTTTTATTATGTTCTTTAAGCTTAACGTGTCTCTCTCTGATTGTGTTCATTAGAATTCTTCCGACTGATTAGCTTTCCGCTTAAGACACTAAACAACATCTCTTGACAATATAACTAACTCAGTCGTCAGGTATGATAATCACTACCATAAAAAAAACAGATAAGCATTATAATAATTATTTTACTATAATTCCTAATGATGATTGTTGAATAAAAAGATCTCTTTATGAATTCTGTAGTCTCACAATAAAAACATTAATGATAATGATAATAACGACACTGTTAATAATTGTTAAAACTGTATGGATAAAAAATACTTGCACTAAGGTTACATATACACGCATAAATCAGACAAGAATTTAGTCATATTAGTGCACAGTAACAACTTATGATTAAAGACACGCTGATGTATAACTGAAGTTATGTGCTAATAAGAGAGCTTAGATTGCGCTTTATGAACGATAAAAACCTTTCTCTAGTACTAATGATCCTTCAACGTCTTCTATACACATATTAATATACATATATACTTCTTTTCTTTCTGTGACGTCATTCGACCAGTAAAATTTTTATGATTTTTCTATTGTTAAATTATCTGTATCGATTATATAAGAGTGCTCAAATGCACACAGCATTTCAGTATCAGATGAGTGTGCGTTTTTGCACACCACATATTATCCTAGCATAGTAATAGGTGGGGATTGACCCTATTATTTATTGTGATGGCTGGGGTACTGCTCGGGTACCCGAACCAAAGCAGGTGGTTATTTCGAAGGACCACCCGCCGTCGTCTTCTAGGCAGCCTTGGGGGCTACGTCCCCATACCTAAAAAAAATACCTATATGGATGACACAAAAGTGCTCAGATGCACAAAGCACTTCAATCGCAGATGAACGTGTGTTCGGACATGTGCTACGAATGTCACGCCAGAGGCCTCCGTACCAGTCTCTGTTCGGTAGCCCTGGGACGGGATGGAAAAAGCAGGGAAGTAGTCAGCCTATGACGTGGCATAAAGAATATTTGTTGTGTCACGACTCCGTGGTTGCAGTCCGACAGATAGCTTGAATCGTTATTGGATATGATCACGAATTGCAACCAATGCTGTAATTTCCTTCTTTCTTCCCTTCATGACAATAATTGACGAAAGATATATAGCTTCTTCCTTTCCAGGCAAGGCTGTCTACTATCGCCAATGATTTTCCTGATTGCAGTAGACTGGATAACGCGACAGACAGTGGACAATGAGGAAACAGGCATAAAATGGACCCTCACACAAAGAACTTGGAGGATCTGGACTTCACCGATGATATATGTCTGATTTCCCACAAACTGTAGATATCCAAGTGAATAGCAACAAGTTGGCAGAAGAAGCATCGAGAGAAGATAGGACTTCACGTGAACATAGATAAAACAGAGGTGATGAAGATTCCTGGCCAACATCAACAACAGACAACAATCAGACAGCATGAATGGGAGGAACCTGAAAGAAACAACCTCCTTCACCTACCGACCTGGGAAGCATCGTTTCAACTACAGGCGGAAATGATGAGGATATCAAAGCGACGATCCGGAAAGCAAGACAAGCTTTCATCACTTTTAAGTCTGTGTGGAGGTCAACAGCACTCAGCATCAAAACTAAGATCCGGACCTTCAACTCCAATGTGAAGTCAGTCAGTGCTACTATACGGATCAGAGACTTGGCCAGTGTGTCATAAAGAGCATCTCAAACAAACTTCAGACCTTCATTAACAGCTATCTTCGCTCAATACTCAAGATCAGGTGGCCGGCCAGAAAAGATCAGCAATAGGGATCTCTGGGAGCGAACCAACCAGGAACCGATTGTGCAATAAATAAGCAGGAAGAAATGGAGATGAATGGGCCACACTCTAAGGAAACCATCAAGTGACATCACTAGACAAGCCATTGCTCGAGTGGAACCAGGCCGAACGGGAATCGGCGAGTTGGTCGTCAATGCAAGGGTGACTTGGAGGAGGTCATGTGAAGAGGAGATGAAAACATGTGGGCAGACTTGGAGCGGGGTGAAAAAGTTGGCAGAAAACAGAAGGCAATGGAGATGCGCAGCTGAAGCCCTATGTTCCTCTAGGAATTAAAGGATATAATAATAATAATAATAATAAATATAGCTGCTTCCTTTCCAGACAAAGACCTTATTCATTCTCCAACTATTTTTTCAAATGGTGCTGTTTTCTTATCAATGTACCAGGTTTTGTGTTTTCGACAAAAAAGTTATCTATCACAGGGTGTTTTCGCGGACACCATCATAAGCGTCACAACACAGATTCCAGTTGTACACAGAAATCAATAAAACACCTTCAAAAACAGGCCAAATGTAACACATCTGATATGATTACAACATTTCTCTAAGCACACATAATACAAAATCATATTCGACTAACTTTACTTGAGCAAATTCATATCGTGTAATTGGCCGCCTCCGTCATATTGCGATGAAAGCGCAGCAAGTTTTCCTTATAATATATCTTCAATTCGGTAGCAGTGTGAGTGGGAAGTAGCTAAATTTGGAAGCAACATTTTTAAGATATTTAATATCTGGCTGAGGTAGAGAATTATTTAAACACTATGGATAGGATAATTTTATTGGCTGATTTTTTAACCAATCAGAATAAGACTTATCAATATATTTTTCTGTGTGTAGGAAAGACTGGTAATTCATGTAGACTATTTCTATCAGATAAAGTCAACGTTATTTATACGTCAATTAGTCTTCTTCTGATATTTTTGTGACTCAGTGAAGTGTAAAAGTATTTGTAAGGGAGAAAAAGATATTTCAAATCGAAGTTTATACAGGAAAAACGGAAATTATTTACAACATTACAATATGTAATCTATTTGACACCATAAATGGTAGGTGATCTAGAAAGTACGCATAAATTCATGTGACAGCTCTTTATGAATTGCGTCGAATAGGGTAAAATTCTGATCAACTCGGTCCCAAATGAGCTAAATGACTGTTCGGTGGTTACATCACTTCGATTTTTAGCTGGCTAGGTATACAGTATTACTGATTATTGTGAGTGACTGATATCCAACTATTCATTTCAACCAATCACAGTACTATATAATGGCATTCAGTGGAAGTGCCTTATTTACACCTCGTAGAATCAATTACACTCACGCTTTAATCCGTTCAGGACAAATACAGTACATCTATAATAATCTCTAGGAATATTCAACATCATTATGTTACTCAACAAGAACTTACAATTCCGTACAAAGGTTGGCAGTGAGCCACACCTGTTGTGTGGAAGTTAGTAATACTCTCTCAGACTGCTCAAACATCAGTAAGTGGGTGGGAAAGGGTTCGAACCTACACCAATAAGCCATAGTACTGATAGTCGAAATGAGAAGATTATAGGAGAAGAGCAAAAACATAATTTCAATTATTACATATTCAAAAGAATGGATACTGAACAAAGAGTACTCTTTTCGATAAATTCATCATCAGGCTCTACATTTATATATGCATTATAGTGAATGAATGAATGAGTTAGTGTTATGAACGACATTAATGTTTAAATAACATCAAATCAATAATATTGATAGATTACAGCTGAATCTCATCAACATAAAATAAGCTGAATGTCAGAAGAATTAGGAAGGATAATATTACAAATTCATGAATTTATAGCTTCTACTGAAGGCCAGAGCAATAAGTAGGGGCTGGACTTGCTTCTTTTGGACACAGAGTGCTGGTTGTCTGAGGCGATGCACAATAGCTTCTGCTGTTTGGAGCCTGCAGTGCTTCGATGTTTTTGGTAATTTATTTGGCGCCCGGTATAATATAGAGGAGGATCCATCTACGCTGGCTTTGTGGCCGGTTTGCACCAGATGTTCCAATATCGAGCTGTTAATAGTTTTCACTACACCTTTACTTAGCCATGCTGGGAGATGTTCTCGAGCACGAAAAATCAAGTTCCTAAAGCAACGGCCAATATAACTGGCTCCACAAACGCAGTTGAATTCATAGATACAATTAGAAGTGACTAGTCTAGGTACTTCATCTTTCAGTCGAGGAATCACCATCGGTCGTGTAGTTCGCCATATTCGTAAAGGACCGAAAGTAGTTATATATATATTATTGGAAATCGACCAGGAGTACTAGAGAACTGTTTCGTCCTATTCTGCAACTTTCCATCAGTACACACCCCACGACCTACCATGCTAGCAATCGATTCTCGACACGAACACCTTACAGTTAAGAGAACAAAGTCATTAATCAATTAGCTCCCACTTCAGAGGCTAGAATTCAATGGTCCTTAAAAATCTAGCCTTGTCAATTCCTAAGATATAAACTCTACCCCCTCAAACAAAGAGTGCCTTCAATGAGCAATCACTTCATTTTCCACATGGTAGTGGAGGTGAAAATAGTCCTACATCCCTATGCTTCCACTATGGGTGGAATTTATTTTGATAGTTTCACAGTTTTATACAGTAATATTTACTGATGACGGCGTTTCGAGCATAATTTATTGCCACTCATAATCATATCAAGGTACTCAAAAACATTCTAACTTTGTTTCTATAATTCCATTATTTTCCATCGCTTGACATGATTGGTAGTAGTACTTTCCGTACTTCCGGTATGAGTGATGAGTCATTCCTATTGAACGTATTGGATGGGTTAATGCATCCAGTGCAATTGCTGAGCTGTTTTCTAAATTACTTATCTTCTCGGAGTCAGCCATTCTTGCCTTAGCTAAATTCCTATGTTCCGACAATCTGACTACCCTCACACGATCTACTAGTTTGACCTATGCAGTTGACCTCAGTCACTGTCAGTGCAAGGTGTTTTGTAAATTATATTATTTTGTTTAATTAGTTCAATAGGGTCTTTTATCCTACAGAGCTTGTTGCTGAGTCACTTTGTAGGTCTGAATGTCACCCTAATTCCTGCTTTTTTAAGAATCCTACGTAGAGAGGATCTCAGATGTCCCCTACTTAGATGGTAAAACTTCTAGATGCCTTGTATTCTCCCTTATTTATGTTATCATTATAAGTTTCTCCATTACTTTTATAGGATAAGTAGGTGGAGAGAGAGGCTGATTACTGAATCCTTGTTAATCGAGTCTACACCAAACACGTTCAATATTAATGACTCATCACTCACACCGGAAATACAGGAAGAACTACTCTCAGTTAAGTCAAGCGATGAAAAATGATTATGGAATTTTATAGACGAAGTTCTATAGGTAACTTGATATCTGTCTGTCTGTTTTCGACATAGAACTTTGCACAAATGTGCGGAAGTTCAAGTCGCCACATTCCGTGTAGCACGCGAAGCAAGAGAAGAAAGTACAAGAAAAGCATAATAGAAACAGTGAGCAGAGGTGTGAGACAAAGGAGTAATAAAGAAAAACAAAACAGTTTCATTGGAGATCATAAGTCACAGGGAGTGGATGCATCTGCGCCACTGAGAACGATTTTGAGCCATGTCACCAATTGTTTCCAACCATAGATTTTTACCGTCCCGAGGACCCCAGCCTGGAAGTCTACACCTTTCTACGTGGCTAAGACCAACTGTTGTGGATTTCATTGACTGATGCCAAGTTTTTGTTTGACCGCCGCTAGCTTTTTTCCAGCCTGACCCTATATCCGCTAACATAGCTCGTCAAGGGAGGCGATGACTTGGCATACGTAACACATGTCCTAACCATCTCAGTCTTTGTAGCTTCACGACTTTGTCGATTGATTTCTCCTGTTTACCTAGCACTCGACGTCTAACCTCAATGTTGCTCACCTTATTATGCCACTTTACACGGGAAATAGAGCGCAGGCACCTATGATCAAATGCAGCTAGTCTTTTCATGTCTCCCACTCTCAGTATCCAGGTCTCACAACCATAAAGGAGGACGGAGCGGACTGATGAGCAGTACACCCGCCCTTTGGTCGATAGTCGAACATCTCGTCTACGCCAGAGTTGGCGTAAACTGGCTACTGCGAAACAAGCCCCCTTGATATGATTATGAGCAGTAATAAATTGTGCTCGAAACTTAGTTATCAGTAAATATTACTGCATAACACTGTGAGACTTTATCAAAATAAATTTTACGCATAATGGAATTATACTCTACCATATTTCTTCCATCAAAAATCCTAAGCATCTGAGAAATATATGCAACACCCTCCCCTCCCCTCCGGACTACTCTTTTTATTCCTAGATCTTTTGTTTCTTTTCTCACTGCCAACTATCGACAAAACAGAACAAAACATGTAAACAGAGGCGGGAGTGTACGGGGGAAAAACGCAGTCAAAAATCTTTAAAAAGACAAAATATGTATGTGTAAATGTATATATATAGTACTACTCTGTTCAATCTTGATTTATGTATATATGAAGAGAAGATTGTGAGGGAGAGAGAGAGAGAGATAGAGAGAGGTCAATCATTGTCATTATCATCATCGTTAAGGTAAATACATGAAGGATAATGGATTAATGCATGTACAACATATATATATATATATATATGCTAGAAAAAGACAAAGACAGGAAGTATATAAGAGAGGAAGAAATAAATTGATAAAACAGGAAAGAAAAATTACAAAAATGGCAACCAATAATAATCCCCTGATTTTATCACTGAGTTAGTTTAACAGTTAGTGAATTAGTTAGTCAAATAATTAATGCATATGACATTCATGGCATATTAAGGCTTGTAAGAAAAAAAAACACTCTCACACACAGACAAAAGATAGGAAATAACTGTGTACATAGGAAAGGATAAGTAAAATATACAATATGTATTTATACAGGGTTTTTTTTTAATAAAAAAATCTCAGACACCAGCAAAATAACAAAGGAGAAAAGTAAGGCAACTTAGTGAGGCAATCAGCCATTGACATAGAAGATAACAAAGTAGAGTTAAGGCAATCTATGTAAAAATATATCCTCGATTCTCCACAAACCACACTGCGCCCCGCCCCAAGATATTTCTAATTGTGGGGCTGGGGATAATAATAACAATAATAAATAGATTATCATATTCCAAATCATCAAATGCGGAAATAAGTTTGTGTGTGAGTATGTGTGTAGGATACACTCCCGCCACCACACACATACCCCCAGCGTCCGCTGCCGTTGATGTATGAGGTACAATTACTGTGTACGGTGGGAGGAGAAGGGGAATCGGATTGGATTGGACTGGATTGTGAAGTAAAAAGGTACTCATCATACAGAAAGAATTAATGGTAGGAGTGGTTGACATGAGAACAAATCAGAGGAGAGTGTGTAGTAGAGACACACATACAAAACCTCTTCCAAACACCCACCCACCCATCCTCTGGGTTATTCAAATTATCAAAAAAGGGGGGGGGAAACATCCGTAAAAAAAAGGGAAGAGAGGAACACTGAAGATACATCGCAAAAATACACATTTATTACTGAGTACAATTCATGTAATGTTTTGCTTTGCATTTGAAAGACAGAAATAATTTTTAAGTTGATTTAATACAATGAAAAATAAAGGTGAAATGGTGATGTATACGATTTTAGGTTAAAATTAGAAGAAAAGCACAAATAATTGCTGTTAACATACATACATACACACACATACGCACAGACAAGTTACCATTGGGAACGATGTCTTCTAGTATTATTACTACTATTACCATAACTATTAACTGATGAACTAGAAAAGCGATGATCTGTTGTATTCGACGGCTCTTTAATCCAACGGGCATAAAACGATGGTACTTCAGACCGATGAGAACTTTTCGATCGATATAAATCATTATGATTGTTATTATTATTATTATTAATACTAGTGGTGGTAACAGATCTGTTCGAATGTTGAGATTTAGATGTTGGTGGTGGAGGGGGTTGTGATGATGGTGGACTTGAAGGAATTTGTGAAACATAATATACAGGTAAATTATTTATATCTGAAGGATTTCCATTAAGAAAATTCCCTTTCGTTGGACTATAACCAATTGAATCATGTGATAGTTCATCTTGTGGAGTTTTAGGCGTTTTTATAATAGGTGAGGCATTTTTATGCTTAGATGACGATGATGACAAATGAACTGATCTTGATCGTCGACGTCTAGATGTATTATCTGGTGAATTCAATGGGATTGATGGTCGATAAGTTGGTGTTGGTGAGGATGATCCTGAATCCGATGACTCAGAATTAGAAACACGTCGATGATGAACTTTTGTACTTGTAGATTTAATCCGTTTTGGTTCATAAGTGTTATCTTCACTTGTTGGCATCATAGTATAGTGCGAATTCTGTACATTTGTTACCGAATTAACATGACACTTCGGTGATCTCGATGTAATCGGTGCTACACTTTTACTACGACAAAATTTTCTCGATGGAGGTGGTGAAGCATCATTAGGCGATTGATCATCATCTGAAGCGGGAATTCTATTCTCTGAGTGTGAATTACCATCTCCTCTTCCTTGAAGATGCGAATGGTGGTGTTGTTCTACAGGCGGCATATGAGATCGTTTCGATGACTTTTTTGTTGATAGTGAATGTCTACTTTCCTGAGAACAAGAATTATCGATCCGATCTTGTTTTTTTCGATGATCAATAAATTCTTGATCTGTATCAGTTTCTAGTCTAGATTTATGCCGTTTTTTCACAGGGGATTGTTTATATTTATTGACAACAGTAGGTGGTGGGGGTGGTGCTGTCGCCGTCGCCTCACAATTCTCTATATCTGTATCACTGTCACTTGAAGAAGTATTTACAGAAGTATCCAATTGAACTAAACGTCGTCTTTTCGATTTCTGCTTAAAAGTACTGAGCTGCTTTTCATGCTTCGATGAAGGCACAGAGGTATCAGAACAATTATCATCTAGGGGATTCGAGTTCTGGTATGGAGATAATTTTGTGGCGGATGAAGTCATGGCATTCGGGAAGGCGGTGATATCAGAATGTTTTCTATGCGATTTTTTCTTTGATGATTGTTTTTTGACAACATTATTAGTAGTAGTAGGAGTTGTATCAGTCTGGAAGACCATATTTGATCCTGTGCTGAAAACAATTGATGAAGTACTATTAGGGATCACTTTCGAGTGAGCTGAGTCTTCTTTAGTCGAGAGTTTAGTAGTCACGGTCGACAAACCTGTACTTGTACCAGAAGTAGACGAAGAAGAAGAAGAAATAGGATTGTTTGCCATGGTAGAAAGAGAAGGAATGATTCTCTGTTCCTGTGAAACTAGACTGGAGGAGCCTCGTAATTCATTTGAATTGTATTTTGTAGAAATAATAGCTGATTGACCCGTTTCTTGTCTTTCAGTAGGACATTTTAACTGATCAATTATTTGTGAATGAACATGGAATATACCATCCATGTAACGTAATAAAATTAGCAGAGGAATTTGTGAAGTATTTATATGCGCTCCATCTGAAGCATTTGCAATATCAATATCAATAGAGTGAGTTAACCTGTGATGATGCCCTGAAGGCAGTGATGATGATGATGATGAGGAGGAGGAGGATAAGTTATCTGCTGAACTACCATCTGGTTTGCGTCCAGTAGATGGAATTACTGCCGGAGATTTTAAGTGTGGAACTTTTGTAGCTAACTCATTGGCTTGTTGCCATTCAACCATTGCACTACGCACACAGGCTGTTAACTGGTTGAGACGAACAAATTGACCGACCAAGGATTCCAGGATCTTCTTTGAATCTAATATAAAAAAAATGATAACATAAGGGTGTCTTAGAGATAAAAAAGAAGTAATAATGAAGTCAGTCAGACATTAACATAATTTCCAGTGTTATTTTGCAGGGATTTGATCGTTTTCAGGAGTTGACATCGGTAAGAAAACCACTGAAAAACCAGAGTATAAAAAGCTGTTTCATCATCCTGCACCAACCTCTAGGGTTCGATTCCACGGCCTTTCGGTTACAGAGGTTTCGCGTGCGTTTCGGATTGTGAGGGCGATTGTTACTTCCCGGCTGCCCACACCGTGGAAGTTGGTTGCGTGACCGCAGAGCCCAGGGGACAACTGCTTGAGGCCGGTCACACGCGGCCTGTTTTTGTTTGTTCTCTTTTGTTTGGTGTGCCTCAGTAGCATACTTATCACTCCTGCCCTGTGACACGGCAGCAGGAAGCGCGGTCGTTGTTAATCCGGGCCACGGCCGATCCGGCATGAAATTTTGTATTGGACATGATGTTGGATTGGGTAGTTGCTTTTTGTTTAACCGCTATCCAAACAACCTGCCTGGCATGGTAGGACCTCAAGAGACGTAAGTCTCAGCCAGTATAGCTTGAATAGATCATTGCGGTGTTCAAGCCCGACCACCACGTCAAGGTAGCAGCTTTCGGTCGGTTACAGAGCAAGCTTGTAGCTCATTCAGCAAATGGGACCCGATTCAGTGGCTGTTGTACCCCAATGCCCACGAATTCTCAATGGAACCCAGGTAACTACCTACCTGAATAGGGTCAGTCACTAGTGAGTATCAGATTGATATTCAAGTGTTGATTTTCAGGGATCTGAGTGTTTTCAGGATTTCATCATGATGAGCTGACAACGGTTAGGTTTGATCAAGAAGTGATTTTAGTTTGAAAATAACTCAAAGCCACGAAGTACTAAAGAGGCGTTTTGTCCTCGTTTGAGACTCTTCCATCAGTACGCACCCATGACTCCCACCACTAGGAATCAAACCCAGGAACTTCAGGTTACAAGGCAAGTCTCTTTGACAACTAGGCGTCAGTGGGGGAGGAACATGATGTTCATCAATTCAAACTACTAGCTATTCAACGAGCTCGTTTTGTAACCTGGTTTCGGTCACTTGCAAAGTCATGAATACGTTGTACTACTGAATCCTCCCATACAAGGGTAGAAAAAACTGTTCAGTACTACTCCCTAATTTTTAATGGTTTTCTTTGTAAACAAACACCTGAAAATAATTTTAGTGAATCATTAGGCAAACACAATCTAATAAACAAGCTAGGATATCAATCAATGTCTTAAAACCACTAAGCGAAAAAAGAATATTGAAAACATCCTTATGTTAGAGACAGCTGTTCTGAATTATTACCAGTGAAATAAACAGTGCCCCATAAGTGATATCAAAACTATTACTGACTATTACTGACTGGTTTCAACATAGAAATTTGCACAGATCTGCACCACTTCCAGTTGACACTCTCCCTCCTTGTACCACACAAAGCAAGAGAAGATAGTAGTAGTATACAGAGATTCAAAAGAGAGATAGACAATAAACAGAAGTGTGAACGAGCGAATAAGAATTAGTAATACGCAAAGGCAATAGAATTTTATTGGATAAATCACAAAGAGTGAACGCATCTGTGCCGGCCATTGACGACGATTTTGAGCCATATTACCAATTGTCTCCAGCCGCCATTGATTCTTACCATTATCCTGAAGAACACATACAGGCAGTTAGACAGTTTGTATCTCCCTATGTGGCTTAAACTAACTATTGTGGATTTCATTGACTGATGAAGCCAGGTTTTCATTTGATTACAACCAGCTTTCTCTTTTCCAACTTAATCAATCCTATGTCAGCTAACATTGCCTGTTATAGAGGAAGGCGATAGCTCAGCATGCATAACACATGTCCTAACCGTCTCAATCAATGTAACTCCAGAACTGCATCGACTGACTTTTTCGCCTTACCTAGCACTCAACACCTAAACCTCAATATTACTCACCCCCGTTATACCACCTAACATGGGAGATGGAACGCAGACACGTATCATCAAAAACAGCTAGTCTTTTCATATACTTCATTTTTCTATAGCCATAGAGGAAGACAGTGAGAACTGCGTAGTACACGCGTCCTTCAATCGACAGGCGGAGGTCACGTCTACTAAGCCAGTGATTGTGTAAGCTGGCCAATGCCAAACGAGCTTACTGGATCCGTGCTGAAATTTCGTCAGCGATTAACTCACTGGGACTGGTTGATGCAACTTCCCAAATGATTGGAGTGGTCAACACGCTCTACCACTTCACTGAGTATCTCTAAGCCAAGAGTTAATGCACCGCAGTCCTGTGGTATCATCTTAAATTTGACGGGAGTGAATCATATGCCGCGCATTCGAAGACTGCTACTCAAGGTGCTCAGAAGGCTCTACACTTTATCAGTGTCTTCACCTAGTAGAAGGACTATATCATCTGCATAGTCTACATGTCAACGAGATTCAAATCAATTACGATTCTGATAACAGAAATATTATACATAAATCTAAACTACATTTACCAAGACAATGAATAAATAAGCGCATGTTTAAGGGAATTTCCCCAGGGTCACTGAATCTTCAAACAATTGAAAATATTTACCATGTATAATCGAATTAACAAATTATCGCACTAAAGAGTAATCAATATCATGTATTCAATATTTCCTGTCGTTCCATATGTAGAATTTGCAACTTGACTTGTCATTTTGAATCGATGGTAGCTGGTGGTTCAAAGGTAAATTTGACTGTTCAAATCTAATCAACGCTAACACCAACGACCGACCAGCAAACAACACGGCACTGATTATGCCTTAGTCATCGATTAATGTTTCCTCTACAGAAGTCAATCGTAATACAGACAGCTTACTTATTGTTGGCAACAGAAGCATCACAGATAGGACTTCAGGTGAACATAAGCAAAACAGAGGTGATGAAGATTCCTTACCAACACCAACAGCAACAGCAGACAACAATCAGCCAGCATGAATGGGAGGAACCTGAAAGAAACAACCTCCTTCACCTACCCACCTACCTGGGAAGCATCGTTTCAACTACAGGAGGAACTGACGAGGATATCAAAGCGACGATCGGGAAAGCAAGACAAGCTTTCATCACTTTTAAGTCTGTGTGGAGGTCAACAGCACTCAGCATAAAATTGAAAATAAGATCTGGATTCTCAACACCAATGTGAAGTCAGTGCTAGTATACGCATGGATCAGAGGGGTGCTTGAACAAAATACAGACCTTCATCAACAGCTGTCTTCGCTCAATACTACTCAAGATCAGATGACCGGAAAAGATCAGCAATAGGGATCTCTGGGAACAAACTAACCAGGAACCGATTGTGCAACAAATAAGCAGGAAGAAATGGAGATGGATTGGTCACACTTTGAGGAAACAATCAAATGACATCACTAGACAAGCCATTGCTCGAGTGGAAACCGAAAGGGAAGTTGCGAGTTGGTCGTCAGTGCAAGTGTGACTTAGAGGAGGTCATGTGAAGAGCAGATGAAAACATGTAGGCAGACTTGGAGCCAGGTGAAAACTCTAGCAGAGAACCGAACGCAATGAAGACGCGCGGCTGAGGCCCTATGTTTCTTTAGGAATTAAAGGAAATAATAATACTTATCCTTAACTCCTCTGTTTGTTTGTTTGTTCGAATCAGATGCAAGGGAGGGGGGAGAGACAGTTTCTTCGACGTGGTGGATACACGTGTCCTAGTGGCGAGGGCCAACGACACACAAGACATCTTCAAGCTTGCCTTACACCAATATTTTAGCACATTTATAATATATATATTATTTACTAGAATAGCTCACCTTTGAATCAATGGGGGGTCCACAGATTTCAAAGACAAAAAACAACACTAGTATACTAGAGCAAAACGATAAGACAGTCTCATACACAAAAGTCGTCTATTGTCCTCGTAGCTGGCAGTTTAACAGACACAAAATGGGATATTTGTAATACGTATACATGTGTATATTTGTTTGTGCGTTGGTGGCACACCGGTGGAATGCTCGCTAGCTAACCATGCGCCTCAGGGGTGGTTAGGGGTTTGATCCCTGGACACAGACGCACTTTTTTACCTGACTAAGCCAGTAATAAGACTAGTAAAGAGGGAAGTTTGGACATGAGACGAGCAACCACATCCCGTAATAAATATATAAGTACCACTGCTGCCAAGACTTCAAAGCTTTTTCTTGAAACCCTATGTTCCACTTCCAAAAGTATTGTCAGCCTTAGTATGACGTAAAGAAACAAGTCAGTAGACGTTTTGTTAAGATATATGTATATACATAGCTTAACACATAAAAAGACATACATATACATATATTTATGTATTATAATATATATCTTACCACTTTCCGAGGATGGATTAGATGGGATTTGAGGTTTACTCGACGATGGTTTCGATGATGATGATGGTGGACTGTCCAAACTTTTAGGAATGTTAATAATTTCCTTTAAACTAGGAATGGTATGTTGTATAACTGAAATGCTTGCGTCAATCTAAAATTTCAACAACAACAACAACAAAAAAGTAAATAAAAATATTTGTGTAATAAACTGTTACATACATGGTGTATAAAGCGGGAATAAATGAATGAATAAATCGATTTTATACACTGAGAAATATTGAAGAGCACAAATCTTGAAAACACACTGCTCGACTTATTTATTTATTTCCATAGCGATGGTTACAATGCATCAACGACGCATTCATCAATTCTGTTGTTGGTGGTGCTGGCAGAACCAACCATTTAAAAAATTTACCTTGAGCAGAGAAATCTGTGCAAAGAGGGTGATAGCTCTACCTATAATTAAACCAAAAATCTGCACAGGTACGTTACGTTGATGATACACTTGTAATAATTAAGAGAAATGATTTAGAATATACCCATAAATTAATAAACAGCATATTTGAAGACATCCAATTCACAAGAGAAGAAGAATTAGATAACAAAATCTCATTTTTAGATGTCTTAATCAGGAGTACCAACACAAGAAATTTAGAAACACAAGTATATAGAAAATCAACGCACACAGATCAAATACTCAACTATGCTAGCAATAATCCAACTACTCACAAAAGAAACTGTATGCAGACATTGATTAAAAGAATTCAAACACACTGTAGCACTCAAGCGTTGAAGAGAACGGAGGAAAAATACCTTCGAACGATCATCTTCCAAAGGAATGGATATCCGAACAATTTCATCAAAACGTGGTCAAACTCGAATCACAACACCGACAATGAACCATCATGAAAGATCACAAAAAATTTCATCCAACCATATATAAAAAATATCTCTGAAATAACAGCTAGAATACTGAAACCGTTCGATGTAGATATAGCAGACAAGCCTGCCACAACACAGTCACTTCATTCGATATTGTGCAAATCGAAAGACACATCTAACAGAAAAAGAAGACAAAATTAATTCCATTTACAAAATAAATTCTATGAACTGTTACAGATATTACATCGGTCAAAGTGACCGTCCCCTTCGAATTAGAATCCAAGAACACAAATCAGCTATGAAAAAACACGATAATATATATATATTCTTTAATATCAATGCACATAGACAATTATGGACATCAGTTTGATTGGGATAATGTCGAAATCCTAGACAGAGGAAACACTAAAAGTGCATTCAGGGAATTCCTGGAAGCCTGGCACTCAAGCGAATTACCTACCGATTAACAAACACGTTAATATAGACCAAATACACCAAATAATAAAAAGTAAATCAGGTGATCAGAAAGTTTAAAATCTCAGTCAACAGAAAATGATCAATACACGCATGTAAAGATGGTTACCGGGAGATGCAATTATATCACTCGTGAAGAAATTTAAATCATTTCACAGTTATATATTTATAATTAGTAAAGAATTATTGTTATCGACAACGTTAATGTTTCTTTTTACATCACAACGAATTATTGACATCATCTCTGCGTCGGTAACTCAATAGTAGAACGTGGTCCGGGGTTCGTTTCCCCGTCAATATACTCCTAGACATCACTGCCTAGCTAGTAGTAAGGCCTGGTAGTAGGAGGGAAGCTTGAGAATACGTAAAAATAAAATTACCGCTAGCGAAGTTTCAAAGCTCTATGTTTCACTCGCAACATTAAGGAATAAAATGATTAAAATTTTTTTTTTAAAAGACTGGTTACTAAACAAAGAATATCCTTTTCGATAACTTCATCACCAAGTTCTACAATTATATATACAGTTCGATAGCATCAGCATAACAAACAACACACTGAATATCACACAGGCAAATTAGGAAGGATAATAATGCAAATTCATGAATTTATAGTCTCCACTGAACGCCAGCCAGAGCAGTAGTAGTGGTTGGCTGGACTTGCTTCCTCTATACACAGAGCATCGCTTTTTTTTCAAGTGAATCGTGATAGCCTCTGTTGTTTGGTGTACGCGGTACTTGAATGTTTTTGGCAATTTGTTTGGTACCAGTAGATCATAGAGAAGGACTATTCAATATTGGCTTTGTGGCCAGTTTGAACTAGGTGTTCTAATATGGAGCTATCGATGCTTCTAACTACACCTTTATTTAACCACACAGGTAGATGTTCCCGAGCAAGCACGAAAAATCAAGTTCCTGGAACAACGACCAATTAAACTCGCTCCATAATCGCAATTGAATTGGCAGATACAATTAGAAGAAGTGGCTAGTATAGGTACTTCATCTTTCGATTGGGGAATCACAACCGGTCGTGTGAAAAATATGACTTGTAGTTTGCCCGTATAAAAGTTCTTTGAACTGATTGTCTTAACTTCTTCGTAATTATTTCTCTAGGTAGATAACTCTTGAATTGCAATTCCTATGAAAAATGACTCGTGTTTACGCATAGGGAATAGCCCTTTTCAACTTCTGTGGTCATATGTTTCCCGATGAATTTGTCTGGATAGATATTTTCAATTAAGGTATCACAAACAATGCGTAGTTCATCTTCAATTACCTCTTTTGAACATATATCACTAACCCTCTGGCTGAGGGCCCTTAATAAATATATTTTGTACTGGAAAAAAAAACGAAGTTATGAAAATGTGTATATTGGCCTGTCCATGTGCTTTCCCTATATAAATTTCGCCTTATACTACCATCTCATTTTCTTGTAAGGAGCACATGCAGGAACGCAATTCTATTTTGAGAGTCGTCTTCACACTTGAATTTCATAGCAATATGTACTTTACTGAATCAAGTTGTTATTATGTTCTTATTGGAATCATTATCACAAAGAATAAAGGTATCATCTATATACTGGCAATAAAATGAGAATTTTCTGATCAAGCTGTTCAAAGGTTTATTTTCCAGTTTACTTATAAGAAGCTAATAGCATTAATTCATTTACTATTGTGAATATATAACTGTAGAGCCTGATGATGAAGTCATCGAAGAGAATATTCTTTGTTTAGTAACCAACCATTCTTTTGAAAATAAAATGATAATCGACGTCATCTAAATTCCAATAGGCATTTGTGAATAGACTGTTAATAGATTACAATTCAAAACGTGTGTGTGTGAGAGAGCGTGATAACATGCATAAATGTAACACTAAAGTGTACATCACATTGCCAAAGTGGAGGACCGTGAATAACAACGAATGAATCCTCATAATTAGTGTTCCCCCTGGATTCTCTGCTCCCACTGATTATAAACTTCGTTGGTATTAGATGATTGGAGGCAGTCGGCCACAGGAAGTCTTGCTTGATCTAGGTTTTGTGCTCACTCACTCACCAGTCAACAAGGCGTATCTGCAACCATGAAGGAACTGATGTTCTTTCTGAGATTTGAACACACATCACCCGTTGGGACTGCAGTCAGAGACGTATGTTACCATTGAGCTATTCAGACTCGCGATTGACCTCCTGTAGAACTGACTGACTGTATTGGATATTTTTGATTGGACACTGGTCAGTAACTAAACTTCATATGGATGCATAATAATATCATCAAATACAGGGAGAGGAAATGACGAAGAAGGTTACTTCTGTGTCTGCATGTCAGTGTATAAGTGAATTACTCAGACCATCTGTCTGTCTGTTTTCGACACAGAACTTTGCACCGATGTGCACCAGTTCAAGTCGCCACACACACCCCATGTAGCAGACAAAGTATTATGTACTCGTCGCCAAATTATTGTTATGTACTGATCGAGAATTTAGTAGTCCTGACGCAAGAAAGACGGAAATCAGAAGACCGCTAGGTTTGCGATGATACTTCTATTTTCCAAAACACCAGGAGAATTAATATGTCACACAAGAGTGTGAGAGCGAAAATATATATGAATGTCCGAACAAGTGTGTGAACACAAGTGTGAGAGCGAATATTCAAAATGAACAAATTAATAGACAGTCTTAACATGATTGGCTAATTATAATGGAATATCGATCCATATATACATAGCAAAATATATCAGACTGTCAAACAAACACACAATTTATATGGAAACATATCACAAAGCAAGAGAAGAAAGTACCAGAAATGCATAATAGAGACAGTACATAGAGGTGTGAGACAAAGGAATAGTAATAACGAAGAACAGAACAGTTTCATTGGAAATCAAAAGTCACAAGGAGTGGATGCATCTGCTTCAGCCCTTGAGAACGATTTTGAGCCATATCCCCACTTGTTTCCAACTATTGGTTTTTACTGTCCCGAGGACCCCAACCAGTCAGGAAGTCTACACCTTCCTACTTGGCTTAAACCAACTGCTGTGGATTCCATTGACTGATGAGGCTATATTTTCTGGTTTGACCACCACCAGCTAACTCTTTTCCAACCAGACCCAATCTTATGTCAGCGGCTAATATTGCCAGTCGAGGAAGGCGATGACTAGGAATACGTAACACATGTCCTAACCATCTCAGTCAGTGTAAATTCACAGCCTCGACGATTGATTTCCTCTCCCTCCTTACCTAGCACTCGACGCCTAACCTCAATACTGCTCACCTTATTATGCCACTTCACACGGAGATAGAACGGAGGCACCTATGATCAAAGACAGCTAACCCAGCTTTTCATGTCTTCCACTCTCAATGGCCAGGTCTTGTTCACAGCCATAGAGGAGGACGGAGCGGGCTGTTGAGCGGTACACACGCCCGTTGGTCGATAGCCAGCCGGATATCACGTCTACGCCAGAGACGGCGTAACCTGGCATATGCAAAACTAGACCTCTGTATTCGTGCTCAGTACTCAGACTATCCGTACTCTGTACTCAGATTATAAATAAGAAAACAAAAGGTTTGTTTATGCAAGTATAATAATAAGGGGTGGGGTGGGAGAATTTATACATACCGGGTGTAAAGTCATATCTGAAATGTACAACGTAATGTAATATTTATGAATTCATAGATTCAACAGCAGGCCAGCGTAACAACAGTAGCTGGACCTATTTTTTTGCAGACACAGTTCTGGTTTTTTTAAGTAAATTTCAAAGACCTGGGTTATCTAGAGGTACTCGGTACCTAGAGGCTTTTG